CTGCTCCATGTCTCTGCTTCCCAAACAAGTGGCACTTACAAAATCAGTCCTTCAGCCTTCTCGAAAGCTCCTCTTGGTTTTACAGCTTTCAGGGGAATGGTCTCTTAAAGATGATGTTAAAGATCTCTTTCTATTTTTGCAAGGGCTGTGCACATCAAAAAAAAGAAAAATCCTAGGGATTTTTGCAAGTGTTTGAGGAAGAAGAAGGGGGTCAAGGTTGAGGCCAGCAGCAGTGTCAAAACAGAGCATCTATGGACCCTTGGTGCAGAACTGTCTTCAAGCCTAGTGCAGCAATGGGAAGGGACAGGCGGGGAAGAGAAAGCAGAAATTACGTGGGTGGTTGAATGTCCTGAAGTGCAGGGAGATTATGCACGGACCTGGAAGAATAGGTTAGGAATAGATATGGGTTGTGGGCCTGTGTTAGATGACCAAAATAAATACGGTTATTACAGGCATGAGGGGGGAGGATTGTGATTCCATTGTGTGTGTTGGGAAGTTTTCTTAAATTTGCAGAAATTGACAGGATTCACATTTGAATCCATCCCCCTGAGATTTTTTTTCAGATTCTTTGACTCTGCTGGAACTCCCTTATTCCCTACAGAGCAGTACAGGACAAATGGTAATTGTCTACCTAGAGTTTTACTGCTGTCTGGCTTTATATACATGTTCTCAGGATTGTCTGACCCAAAGTAGGCCCAGTTATTTTTTTTCTCCTTCCTTTTGTTTTGCAACATCTTGCAGTGAATTCTGTGTGTTCAGGGGGAAAGATCACTTGAAAACATGAGGAGTAGCAAACTTCGTCCTTTTTATTTCTTTTAATGCTATTGCATTCATGAGACATTCTCAAAGAGATAATGGAAGAGAAAGAAAAAAAAACAGTCACAAGGGAAATAGATTCTAGTTTAAGCTTCCAGGGGATTATTATAAACAGGGAGAAAAAATATTTTAAGGATTATGAGAAGTACCTTGTCAGTGTCCTTTTAAGTAGAACAACTGCTAATGCATTAGTTACAGAATTGTGTGAAACGTAGCTTTTTACTAGGTGCTTTAGCTATAGGGTATTCATCTTATAATCATGTTGTAAATGGTACATTATATACATTGCTTTTTCCATCTCCCCTCCCTCCAACAACAGCAAAAAATTTTTAGCATAGACCTTCTTCCATGAGTGATCAAGAAAATCCTGCACACAGAACAGTGCATGATGTTACAAACCTGCCTTTGTCCTTTATAGTCATTTGGAGAAACTCTCTATCACCGCGCGTAGTGTCGGGGTGGAAAGACCTTGTCTAGTGACATTTGTCACTGTGATCATCGGGGAGAGAGCAGTCTCTCCAGGGCTGCAACGCTGCTTGGTGCTGGATGGAGTAGGCAGGATCTCTCAACAATAGGCAAAATAGCAGTTTGGATGAAGAAGAAGAGAGAACAGTGTATACCAGCTCTGCTTCTGATCGGGAGTAAGGAGTGGGCCAGGGATCCCACTGTGCTTCAATCATGCGGTTTCGCAGGCAGCCCTCACTCAAGCTATGACAAAGCTGCAATTTAGTCAACCTTCACTTACCGCTTACTACACTTTAGCAACAGCTTTATTGTAAGATCTGTCAGGAGTCTACTGTTGTAAGCCGGGCAAGGGTGGTGCAGCCTCGCACTTGTGGTTCAAACAACTGTAATTAACTCATGTCAGATTACCACGGCGAATTTCAGGAGTTGAGAGGAAGGATGTGCGCTCCAGGGATGGTCCTGGGCTGGGCCATGCGCTGGACTTCTATGAGATACCAACTCTTCGGGGCTATTCAAGTTGCAGGGATGGTAATGTGGTACATGGCATTTTAGGCACCAAATAAATAATAATATTAAAATAGCGAGAAGGGGATGAGAAGGTGAAATGTGATACAATTTCTGTTTATTACTTTCCAATAGAAACTCTGATTTTTATCACTTGCTATTCTTCTTTCTTGCTATTCCCTTCCTAGGTAGTAGGACATAGTATGCTGTGTTTTCTTTATAAGTAAGTTCCTGTGTGTGATTTTAGGAGTAGATTTAAATTTCATACATCACAGATACTGCTCCTAAATGTCCACATACAATAATGATTATTTTTTTTGTCGTGGGTACTGATTCCAAATGAAAACACCCACAGAGGCGTTTTGGGGAAGAATAGTCACTTGAGGAAGGACAGTTTTGTTAACATGGAGTGCTGGAAAATCTGTTTATGTCTAAGAATTCAGTTTAATTTCAAGTTAAAAGAGAACATTGGGGGAAAAAAGGGAATAAAATCCTTACTATTTTTAAATTTTCATTATTCCATCTGAGATCATGGTTTTCATGTGAACAGTCATGGCAAAAATATAATTTTTCCTTTCAGTTATTTATGGTATTGTAAACCACTGCTTCTGACAAGCTATGTACTTAATTTTAAATGTGAATGCTAAAACTAATCAGTATTAAGTAAGTATGTTGTCTTAATTAACAGCTTTTTGAAATATCACAAATCTTGTTCCTCTTTTGTACACTCCCAGCAGAATTTTCAAATTTCCTTAATAACACTTGACATAACCTAATTCAGCTACTTGTGAATATAGTCAGTTGCCCTTGTCTTACAACTTTCCCTGCTGAAAAATTTAGTTTCTTTTAAAGCTGAATTGTGTAGATTTCTGATGTACTTTGGATTGTGACTGCAACTGTGAAAATCCTTATCATGTTGTCAGTGTCTGAATTGTTTTGGGGATTTTTTTTGCTTTAGTTAGCTTATAAAAAGTGTGAATTTGACAAGATACTGTTTCTAGCTAACTTCCAGTTAGTGCATATTTTAACTAGTTTCTTACTCTAAATTTTTCTCATATATACTTTCTTAAACTGATTTTTTACAATTTCCATTTTTAAAATTTTGAGAGTCTTTTTAGAGAGATTTATTTTTGTTTCCAGAGTATTCAAATTATCTTGAAAATTCAAGTAGAACATAGAGCAAATTTTGTTTCATAAACATTTGACCTATAGAGCTATATAAGATTTTTCACCATAGAAGAAAGTATAGTGTAGGAGAGAGAGTTTATTCCCCTGTCAAGAGGGAAATAAAAGCATGGCCAGTAATGACGGCATGCGTTTAATGAAAACCTTGGTGTTACATTTATGCCAGAGGTGCGCACAAATGGGCACCCGCAGGCAAGGCAGGCACTTCATCAAATGCTTTATGTCTCAAAAGACTCCCATCTTGCAAACATCAGCCAGAAGGGTGGATGGGTAGGTAGTCTGCAGGTAGGTGGGTGGTAGATTGGTATGTAGGGATTCATCAGAGCAAAACAATGGAAATAATGATGATGATAAGTGGTATCGTCCTTTTAAATGAATAGACTGTAACCTTACCATGTTTAATTTTCTCCATAGCTGCTTTCCTTTGGAAAGTGCACTTCCCTCCCTTCTCAAGATACTAAATATCTAATCCTTCTTATGGAGATAATTTGGAAGTTTACAATTTCCAACAATTGTGTGTGTTGGACAGGTTTTCTACACCGTGTTTTTCAGTGTTTTGCCTTATGTGAATGAATCGTTAACCCTCAGCATTATGGGAAAGTTAAAGAGAGGTGATGTACTGACTGGGAGTGACAGATTCAGCTCAACCCAGATATCAATGCTGACAGTAAAACTTGTTTGGAAAGCAAAAAAATTTAAACCCAAATTTCATCCTACCTGTGAATCAAACTTATTTGTGCAACCTTTGTATGTTTCACATAAGAGGGCCAGATAAACAAGAGTGGCCAGATGTTTTTCTGTTCTCTCTTGGTGTTTTCTTTGAACGCAGACTGAGCTGGTATAGTGTGCTCATAAGTTCTGTGATTTGGTTTTTTTTGTGATTTAACCTTTTAGCTGCTGCAGTATAGGTTTCTGTTGCTTTTTTCTTGCAAACCTCATCCTTCTACATCCTTCATTTAGGAACTTCTGGGCTGAATTCTCTGCTGAATTGACCACAAATGTATCAGCTTCAAAGTGTCAGGGTCTGATGATCTTTGATGGGTCCAGAACAAGTGATTTTGTTTTAGTCTTAATTAGAAATTAACACTGTTACTTGAACTGGACATTGACTATAGGAGTAATTCACATTTATTCAGCAGTAAATAGCACTGTAGGCAACTGAAAAGGCGTGTGTCTACCTGCCCTCCCAGAAGAATCCTGTTAGAATTTATTTTACCTATAAACTTGAACCTCAATACAGATACTAGAGGCAGCAGCAGCTGCAGACAGAACCTGGACCTGAAAGGTGCTCAGTGCAGTGGGGAGGAAAGGCAACAACATAGAAACAGCTCCTGGGGACATGGGGCCACAGCCAGTGACCAGGAAATAAAATATGTATCATGGGAAAACAAAAGCTGGCATTTCCCTGTGCCACTCTCCCAGTCCTCCCCACACCCTATGAGTCTCCTCCCAGTTGCCTTTACATAAAAAAGTCCCAGCTGCCTGTCACTGTCCTTAAATTGCACAGGATGAGATTCCAGGGAGCTGGTTTGGTGTTTCCTGGCTTCCTGAAGTCAGCTGGAGCGTTGTGTTCACATTAGACTGTGTTCACATTAGACTGTGAACTCTTGCACTGATGTCTTATCTGCCTCTAAAGAGCCCCAGGTACTTCTGGCATGTATAAATAAATAGTAAATAACTTAATTCGTCTGACCTCAGGAACAAGCACGTTTGACAGTTTTCATGGTGGACTCTGTGTCTAGGACAGCCTTTGCTCTCTATTTATCGCATGACAGTGGAATGGATAGTTCTCCACGTGTTTGACTAGACCTGCTGGTTTTCAAGCTTTAATGACTTAAAAAATAGGGTTAAAATAGATAACATCATATACTATTTTTCAATGTAGTGAAAAATACAGCTGTATTTTGTTATACATGCCAATAGTTCTCATATGTGTGTAGTGGCAGCTGGTGTCTGGAGTCACAGTAAAGTACTGTTTTACAAAATCTGGTAACTTGGCTTAAAATGATTGCATATATATTTTTTTTCAGATTCTGATTGCCAGTATCATGTGCAGCTATAGCAGGGAGGACTGGACTGAACTTTCAAAAATGGCTGAGGTAATGGTTTCCTAAATGTGTTTCTGCATCTTTTATTATTCTCCTTAAAAACAAGAGCTGCAATAAGGAATTTCTTGAAAGAAATAGATTCAAAGTGAAAAATGAGAATTTAAAGCATGTCTAATTTGTTTATTCTGTGATTTCATTAAAATGATGGAAATGTAAATTTAAAGGAAATCTGTTCCATAAAAATGGTCCCTTGGATTTTTAAGCAGTACCTGGAAAGCCTTTAGTCTTTGAATCTATATACTTTTTATTTGCATTTTAAGCAAACTCTATATTATGACGGATGCCCTGATAAAATTTAATTCTACCTTTGAGAGCCTAACTTGATCTTACCTTGCCTACAGGCACACTAGTTTGACAGCACCAGAAGAAATTTTGAATATAAAACTCTTGAATATTTAAAGTATAAAAGGCTCGTTTAATGCTATTCTAGTTTTAATACAGACTTTCAAAAATGATAGCAGAGAAAGCCAGCATATATAATAGCAGTCAGCGAGCTTTCTATAATATATATTCAATCTTACACAAATGCAAACAGACTATGCACCTGAAAATTTGATTCAATTTTAAGAGGAAAAAACCCTATTTAAAAATATGTACCCATATCCATGGGGAATAGTATTAGAAATACTTGATTAGGACTACAATAATTTCATTCATTCGTTCTTTCATTCTATATCTGAATATAATACAAAGTTATTATTTTTAGATAAAACTTCTTTTCCACATAAAATATCTAGAGAAAATAGAAAGCATAATTTCAGATCAATAAAGGAAGGTTTTAACAAATGTAAGCAAAGAAAAAAATACCTTGTCATTATTGCTTGCATTGGCTCAGTTTTAAATGTTTTGTAAGTATTACATATTTTTATATATGTTTTTATAGTTATGTAGGAATGGGAGTGGATGTTTTGAATTTGTGTTTTCATATGGCTGAATGTGTGTGTTTGGATATTGTTGTTTCTTTAGCCACTGTGTCCTAAGTGAAGACACTTCTCTATTTTCTTTGGGCATTTTAAACCTATGAGGCAAAAAAATCGCTTTGGGGACTTAGGGAAGTGAAATTAAACATTATCAGTAATTGTCTTGGTGATCTTCAGCACTAATCCATTTTATACCTGTATTTACCTAATTGACCATGAAATCTTCTGTGGAATCCGTGCTTGACAGGAGCGATACTGCTTTTAAACTGACTAAGACGAATGACTTTATTGTGCCATTTGCTTCTCTTTTTTAATCCAGTCGTACTGCTATCCAACTTGAAAGCAGATATTTCCAATCTGTGTTTGTATTTATGTTACCCCCTTAGGAAAACCGAGTTATTTAAATGCGCTCAGTAATGTGTAACCTATATGATATAACTTTCTTCAGCAAAATACTTATTAGTCTCCACTCTGTGGAGAGCAGCGCAGTTGTTTGGGGCACTCTGGAATCCACAGTGGAAGAGCAGTGATATTTAATCGCATGCATCGGATCCTACCTAGAAGGTAATAGATGTGGCTTTCCAAAGAGCAGAAGCCCCAGAAGGTACCGCAGTGGCTCTCGGCAGGAGGACGACCTATTCATACTAAAGGTCAGCTTGTCATGGAGGCCGACAGCCCCGGCATCAGCGCGGCATGGCCGGGCCCGCAGAGCTGGCCGGGACATGGAGGATTCCTGAAAGTGATGGATGGCTTCTCCCCTGCTCACGCGCTCGGGGAGCTGCTGAACAGTGGCCACACAGCAGGCAGCTACTTCAGTTCAATAAGCAAAAACAAAATGCAAATGCAAAACAAAATACTAGTTACAGCCACGTGGAAGGCGACGGGAGAGATCCTCATTTGGGCACAGAGGAAGAGGAGCGTGTTTGTGTGCTGCCCTTGCGCGCCTCGGCTTCTTCGCCTTTTTAATTGTAGCTAATAGAAGGTGCTGAAGAGAGTTGAGCGTGAATAATATGTTTGTATAGATTTTTTTTAATCCTGTCTTGTTTGACTTCAGAAACAGAAATATTTAATGACAAAAGCTATGTCACAGTGCAGGCATCTGCAGAAAATTTAGAGACTAAATTCATAAAAGCAGAAAAGAGAAATTTACTACTGAGTCACAGTTTTTCAGAGAACAGAAGAACCTGCATAACACCGACTACAGAACCTTGCTTTCAGTGCTGCCCTAAGGCCCTGTAATTACATTTCATTTTTTAACATTTTCCAGAACCAGCTCCTTGTTGTGCTTGTCTTTTTTTAATTTACTTTTTTTTTTAACTTTAATTTCCTTTGTAATTTGAGGAAGCCACATCAGCTTTTCTCTGTAACGATCAACCCATTTCTCTTTCAGGCTATCATAACAGTGGCTTTCTCTCTTTAAAAAAATAAAAGATAAATCTAATGTTTAAAGAAATCTATTTTACATGAACAGTAAATGCTAGAGGAAAGAGTACATTATTTCAAGTTAATTTTGTGTTTTTTCCCTTTTACTTGCTTCTTAGGTTGCTGGTGCAGATGCGCTTGAGTTAAATTTATCATGTCCTCATGGTATGGGGGAGAGAGGCATGGGCCTGGCCTGTGGGCAGGTAGGACTGTAACCGCAATTTCTTTCATGTCTCTTCAGCCATCCTGCACTGCTACATTGATAGTTACACCTCAGGGGTAAGACACAAGCAGCAGATTACTGGCTTGAGATTTTTAGGTTGAATGTGTTTTAATATTTAGTGCTGAAAGCAAAAAAAAAAAAAAGGAAAAAAAAAGGCAGAAGCTGAGAATATACAAAATGTTTAGTTTTGATGCATTATGTATTTGACAAGGAACAAGATGACAACAAAAATTTCCTAAAAGCTTTTGGACAGAATTTGTTGGTTTCCATTTCAGCGCCATGTAGATATATTTAAGATCACAACCCGGAAACTACTGCACAAATCAATAATGATTTTGAAAGTCATGAGATATACAGACATTCCATTTCACAATTTTTAGCATGTGAGCCAAACTGTATTTTAGAATCATGGAATATGGCATACATTCTAGTACTGCCACCTACAGTTAATGTCTTCACTTATAAGAGCCTATGTTCTGTAACCTATAGATTTGATGGTTTATACAGTTTAGGCTGGGATTATCCATGCCTGATATTTCTGCCATACAAAAGTCTGATGCAGAGTTTATCAATACATCCCGTGACTTAAGTTCGTAGAATGTGTTTTGCTGCCCATGAAAAGAAAATAAATATGCACAAAAGCCAATTCTCTTACTAGTATCCTTCTGAAGTTTTCAAATTTTGCATGGTTTGGCTACATTTTGAAATTTGTTTTGACTCTGAAAGATGCCCAATTGTGGTGAACTTGGAAGTCTCTGAAAAATCTTCATTCATAATCTACTAGGAGAGATTTTCTAGTGTTTGACCATCAAAGTTTCAGAAGTCTGTAGCCTGTTTGATTTCCCATCTTACTATGTTTTTTTTGGAGAGGGGAAAGGGAAGAGGAGGGAGATGCAGAGTGGGAATTATGATTACATGCTCTAAAATCAACATACACTGTTGATTCCCTTGGAGAAGGCCAGTAGACATCTTAATTCATACTCCCTTCTTCAGTTAAACACAAATCTTATAAAAATTGAGGTGTAGTTGGGTAACTAAACCATTAACTTTCTAATACTTGTGGTACTGAGGCAACAGGAGCTGTAATTGTCCCAGTGCAACTGAGGACACAGTCCATGTATAACTTGGCAATACTGTCAGGCACAGTACCCGGGACATTCTATTATTTTCTGCGACCAAAATTATGTCACTCTGTTCCATGCTTTTCATGGCCAGTGGTCGTTTATGAAAGTTATGACTAAAAATGGGAGAGAATTGTAAAAGCCCTCCAGGACCACACTACTGAAAGCATAATAGTTATTAATAATTTTTTTTCCCCCAATTGCATTCAACAACAAAGAGCTATAGTAGCCGACTCTGCAGAGTGTAACTCAGTAGTTTGGGTTGTCCCCACCTGAGATGGCAGCGTGCTGTAGAAAGGTGTGGTTTGGTCAGCGACAGCTCTGAAGTTTTCACGCAGAAGCTGAAACAGGATTCATTCAAGCATGTGGGTTTATTTCTTCTTTTTTTTTCAGGCATATATTATTTCCAGCTTTCAGTGGCTGGAATAATATATGCATGTGAAGTTGCTTAGATGTGTAGTCAGTAGGGAGCTGTCTGGCTACATGAGTTTTTACATATCTTTCAGCTATTGTAAAATCAGAGAACCAAATGCAAAATCTGAGCGCTCAGGGCTATCATGTGGATTTGTGACTCTCCTTGGAGGAGATCAGATCCATAGAGGAAGAAGAAGATTACATTATATATACATGTATGTTTGTATAATAATAAAATTTCTCTCTTCCCCATACAATGGGGATGTTCTTTTGAATTTTTAATATATACTACTCTTGCTTAAATATATTCGTGTGTTTTCTTAACCATCTCACCAAAATGAGAGCTCAGAGAAGAGTCTACTTCTTCAGGCAAATAAATGAACAAAACAAGCCATCTATAGAAGGCCAGATCCTGAGATTCTTCCTCAGAGTTGGCTAAAATTAAATTATGGTGTATTTAAATGTGGTTTATCAAAGCAAAGGGTGTGGATAAACTGGATAGAATAATGATATGTGTGATGAGATTTATCAGCAGCCCTTCAGGGGACTTCCATGTGTGGGGGCCCCTGAAGGCCCTATTGTAAGACAGGAGAGTGCTAGGAATTATTCTATCTCTACTGCTTTTTTTTTTTAATTTTTTCCCCAGAGCTGAAGTCAAATAGGTCATACAATGGTGGTATGGGGAGGAGAGGGCTCGGGTATGGTCTGGAAGAAAACCACTTGATATGTGGAAGCCAGAGCATGAGGCTTTGGGAGGAAGAGAAGCTTTCCTGGTTATACTGTGAATCGGGTTTTCTTGAATCTTTTTGATAACATAATCCATGTCTTCATAGGAAAATTTTTTAAGGATTAAGACCTTTTCATGCCTAAGCGCATTAAATCCTCAACAAACCACAGAAATTGCTGGGATGAAAATAATGGCAGAAAAACATGTATAAATATTTTTACTGTTTATAAAGTCTGAAATGTTCTGCCTTCTTGTTGTTTAAAAAAAAAAGAAAAGGAAAGGTTAATTACACTGTCTACTTTTTCTTCTCATTTCAATTCCTATGGTACGCCTAAGGGTAAGTGTAGAAGTCTGGGAACATCAGATTTGTTTTTTCTCTATCCTATTTTGTTATCTAGTCCCAAACACTTCCATATTTTATACCCACTGTAAATATATAAAAAAATCCATATGTATCCAAATTATATATAAAGAATTGGTACTAAGCATGGCTGTTTGTTTTGTACTTTTATTTGATTTTAATTCCAAGTCATTAGTGCAGACACTCTGGCGCCCAAACAGCATAGCTAGCCAGAGGGTAATGTTAAAAGGCATCTGTATTGCTGCCAATAAGTTACTTAAAGCAGATTCTGTATAAAATGTCAATTATATTTACTAATGCTGGTTAATGATAATAAAGTTAAGGTTTGTATTCTTTCCTAACAATCTGCACTTGTATAAAAGTTGGATATCATTTAAAATCGTAACAGAATTTCCATGATTAGGTTTAACAGCACTAATGCACGGATTTGCTTTGAATTAGATAACATAGGTGTACAAACCATTTAATAGTGAACACAAAGACAGTGTGGTGAACAGCAGATTATTAAGAAATTACAATATCACTTTCCTACTGTAGTAATTGTAGCATAAAATTGTGAAAATAATAAAGCAGTCAAACATCTGCACTCACATGTCAATGTTTAACTTCTGATGTTGCCTTTGTGGTGCACTTTTCATCTCTTTACTGGAAACCACACTTTTCACCTCTTCACTGGAAACCATGCAAAGATGTATTAGGGTTTTTTTCACTTATCCTTCTAAAAAGTGGCATTAAGTATTCAGAACCATTACTGCAATGTGAAGTCAACAAATTTAAGTATTTGGCTTTTTGGTTTTGATCCAAGAGTCAACAAGTCTCTCCAGCTGCTCTGATAAGAATGAATAAATAGTTGAACTGAGTTAATAATCTGGGGCCAAACTCAACTGCTGTTGGAGGTAGTCCCACTCCAAACACAAGCTTGCACTAGCTGCCCTTCAGAAGTCCATTCAGATAAACATTTCCATGATACTGTGGATTCACCCTGCTCAATTCCTATCCAAAGGTACTGCGTTGTTTGTAGCAGAGGTAGGAAATGAGTAGTAGATAAAAGGAAGCACAAGGACTCACCTTGGGGTGAGATGACCAGTGTGGTGGGAAGATCTCAGGTTGAAAGCAACACATCAGTTAAATTTCCAGAGTGCAGAGGATGCCTCTATAATTTTTAAAAAACACAAATCTCATATTCAAAGATTTCAGCCTAAGTGCAAGAACGGAGATTCTTTATGCTATAAGCAAATATTTTAAAAGCTAATAGCATCCTGTCTTATAAATATTTCTCATTAATTAGTCATACCTTTTAACCTCCAAAATATAAAAAATCTTTGCCTGTCTCAGCATTTAAGCTACAGGTTTGGGAGATCGTTTACTTTCTTTAGGTTATATTGAAGGAGGCATGTATGTCTCTTGTGAGCACTGAAATCTGGATCCTGGTGGTTTAACTATACAGATAATACATAAAATGCACTTGCTTTGTGCTTCTTTTCCTTACCTTTATTTTCATTTTACTTAAACTGTACTTGCTACAGCTGCTGGCTGCGTTCATGTTTATTGTCTGCAATTAGGCCACAAATTTCATAACAGCCCACATTGCCTCATTCAGAAGATGACGAATATGTCAAAAACAAAAACAAAAGAACCCCAAAAGCCATGGTTACTCTGCAGAGATGAGAACTGGCTACATAGCACAATTAGATTTGCTCTGCTGTACCTTGGAAATAGAAAAGATGAGGCTGCTTTTTAATTGAGGTGCACAGAATAGCATGCTAATTCGCTGTTGCTCTGCCAGCAAGGAGCTTAAAGTATTTTAAATAAATGATGCCCCAAACAGAATTTGATTATATCTGTGTTCATGTGGTATTCTACTATCAGCCTACAATAATATGCTGGTTAAGTGTAATTCATTGAGTCCTGCAGGCAGTATTAGTTCTCTCTCTTCTCTTTTATATCAGTTACTGCAACAAATTAATGCAAAGTACAGCAGAATGGTGTTACATTGCGCTATAGCAGCAGTGGCAACATTGCCACCCAAAGTCCAGTATAAACCAGTAGAATCAAAGTGAGGTATATGTTGGTGTTTGCAGTGGAGTTTCAGGCTTTATGTGTCTTTTTGTTCGCTTGCATTGACCACTTTCACCCATTTTGGCTGGGATCTTAAGAAGGTAAGTCCTAGATGATCTCACTGTCTTTGTGTCTGTCGGTGCCCTCAGTTGCTTTGGGTCATGTTTCAACCAAATGACCTGTTTCAGTCGTGTTTCTCAGAGTTGAAATTGCTTCAAAGATAGTGGATTCCTGTAAGTTTCATAAAACTAGGCAGCTGGATAGAGAAGACAAATTGTCTGTGGCCAAAGCTGATGGAT